ATGGCGCGCCAACGGGCGTAAGGTCTCTTGGAGGGACGGGTCGGCGGCAGGGTCGGAGGTCTGATGCTTAAAATTTCGGTGGATTGTTTTGGGGCGGGGCGGAGTACCGGCGCGAGGACGTGATGGCCGTCCGCGTTGAGGGTTGCGAAACGCCTTTTGCGGCGTGCGGTCTGCCCCTCGGACATGATGGTCGGACACATGCATGAGGACCTGGCGGGCCGGTGATCCCATGCATCCGGAGGAGGTAGAGAACGGTTCGGAGAGGGGGGCGGGGCGTGCCGGCGTGACGCCATGCATCCGTGCGGACAACGGGGGAGAAGTTGCGTACGTGTGGACGACGACGCGAGGCACGTAAGCAACCAAGCTATATAGTGCACTTAATAAGCAAAAAAAAGGAACGAGAAAAAACCGTTTGATGAAGCAACCAACCAACGTGTGTGGTGCGAACCAACCTGTGGTTGAGATGGTTAGGTGGACAGTGGTATCCCCAACCCATCAGGGTTCAAATCCTGGTGCTCGCATTATTCCTGGATTTATTTCAGGATTTCCGGCGATGCGCTTTCAGTGGGAGGAGACGTTCCCGTCGACGACGAGGCGCCTACGGTGGCTTCGTAAATCTCAAGATGATACGCCGGCTCAGTCTCTCGGAGGTGCTCATAGGGGTAGGGTGTGCGTGTGTGCGTTCATAGGGATGAGTGTATGCGCGTGTATATGAGCGCTTGTGTCTATACTGATGCTAAAAAAAACCAACGTGTGTGGTGTGTTGGCTCGTTTTTTGCTAGCATGACATGACGCACGCATGCATCAGCCCCGTCTCAGCGAGCGCTCAATGAAGAAAAAAAAAACTCCACGCGCTGAAGAAAGAAAGAAAGAGAGAGAAAAAGCTAGCCCTAAAATTTCACAAGAGAAAGCGGGCGGGACTTGACATTCCACATAGTATGATTGACATGAAGTGGCAGTCGCGTTTTTATTGGTGGAATACCCTCTCCCACGGATCGATTCAATCTCTTCTCAGATCCGACGCTTGGAACCTCACATCACGCGGATCGCGCTTCCTTGTCCTTATAAATCCGTGGTTGGTGAGCTTGCCGGATATGGTCGGTTGAAGCCGGCGCACGTCACGAAGGTCGAGGAAGAATCGGTGTTCATCGAGCAGGTCAAGTCCATCCAGGAGACGGAGCCGCGTGCGGGGGCTTGGTAGGCTTCGGAGAGGACCAACCGGAGTCGTCAGAGCAGCGCCGGAGTTGGACTGGACCGAAACCCTGGCCATGGGTTCTTGGGTTTCGTTAGATTTGGCTCCCGCGGGTCCGAGGGCCGGAAGCTAGAGTTTTCGGCAGCCAACTGGTCTATTCTAATGAGTTAGATAGAGTCGAGCTCCTACGGATGGACGCTTCCCAACGGTCGATCTCAATTATCCATCACTCTTCTACCAAATGCACATAGCGCATTGAAGTAGAACCCTATGAGTAGAAGTAGAACCCACATAGCGCATTGAACACCCCCACGTGTTGACAATGTCAGCATGTGTGGACACGTAAGCAGAAAAGGAGTCGTCGCTAGGTGGTCTACGGATCTGGATGTAATTTTTATTTTTTATGTTCGTTGTACTATCATGATTGAAGATGAATAGATTGGAAGTTTTTCCGAAAAAAAAGGAACTCGTTGGAAGCAAGCAAGCATGCTAGTGCACGAGTAATAATAAGAAAGAAAAAAAAGAAAAAAAGAAGAAGAAGTAGAAGCGAGCGCACGAGTTTTGAACCAAGCAGCGAACGTGTGGTGCATTGCGTTCGTTTCGTTGTGGCTAGCATGACGTCACTCGTGCACGTGTGTTGCGTGTTGAAACTTTTCAACAGCTAGCGGCCAACTCAGCCAGCGCTCAAGGCAAGGGAAGGGAAAAAAAACCGTCTCGGCTGGAGGACACGCATCGGCATCGGCATCGGCATCGGCATGCACGAGTTTTGACTCATGTTTCTGTTCCGAGTTCGAGTGAAGGCCGTGACATGCGTGTTCCTCTGCCTCAGCCATGGTCTTGAAGCCTGTCCGAGTTCCAAATTTTGCAAACTTGAAATCGTTGGCAAGTTGGCGTCGGCAATCTGCTGGGAACCAAAACTGGGCGTGCTTGGCGTCAGTTAGTTGCAAATGTTCAGAACTCCCCACACGTACGCACAGTCAAAAGCTTAACACTAAGCAGCTACAGGAAGTAGTAGAGATGAAGCAATCATATTTACTTCCAGGATATTATCAGCGGATCCTGGCAATGCAAAAGAGTTTTGGAATCCATGCAAAAAGACAGTTCAACCAGTTGTATTTGAACAAGGAAGAGACTTGAATGGGGGTTTAATTAAGCAACTCAGTTATGGTCAGGAAGAGACTTGGGCGGATGTGGTGAGGAAGGAGCAGAGGGCGATGCATCTGCCGAACCCCAACTACGTGGATGCCATCGCCAACGACAACATGCACCTCACCACCCAGGCCCAGGTCCGGCTTAACAAGATGCTCGCTGACGCATACATCGCCACACTATGATGATCCAGTGCGTAGTCAGTGTGCGTGCCTGCCTGCCTGATTAGAAGTGTTCACTGGAATACTAGCTATCATTGATTCCATGCAAGAGTTAATTTGGTGATGATTAGTTGTGGACAACAGCTGAATAAGTCTGCTTAGTCTGTAGTTGTAGTAGCAGCAGCAGCAGGATGCTCCATATGAGGCTCCCAAAGGTTCCAAATCAGGGAAGGAGCAATCTCATCAGCACTACGACATTGCTGTTGCGCAGAAGAAAGATTCTTCGTTTTATCAAGTTTATCTACCTGAAAGGAAGACTTGTTACAGTGCAACCCTGACACACACGCAAAAATACAATTTTGCACACATAGATTGGAATCAGACACAATTCGTCAGAAACTCTGTCAGAAAGGCAAAAATAAATTCTTTGCAATGAAGCCTCATGCTTTATCACAAAAAGAAGAAGAAGCCACGTGTTTGTACTAACTCAGTCGGTGGCCAAGAAGAAAAAAAATGAGAAGGAAGAACTGAAATGTTTGCAAGATGCCTAACAATACAAGCTTATGAGTTGCAAACACATTGAAATTCGCAGGGAAATTGGTTATGTGGTAGAAAATGGCAAGAGCTACTACTTACATGTGGACATGTGGTAGAAATATACTAGAGGCACACCTGCTTCTGCTGTACAGATTAAAGCAACGAGCTTGTATATGAAATATTACTACTGCTGGCCGACACAAAAGAAAGTAATGGCCATTGGCCCCTCTAATCCCAGAGGACCTCCTCTGCCCACGGCGCGCATCCGCTGCTCCTTCCGCTCGTGTCCGTCAGCCGGCGGTTGCCTGTTATCGCCCCACAGCGGCGGAGGAGGCATCCTTCCATCAGCCAGCAGAGGGGCAGCTGCCGAGGAGGACGACAAGACAACTGCCCCTCACGTTGCGGCGCGCACAGCGACAAGATGCGGGCGGAATCGGAGTGACCATTGCTTCCTTCATGTGGTGGGGGCTTGCTGAGATTCCCACCTGCGATGTTATCACCAAATTCGATTCATCGCCTTAGCTTCGCATGTTACCACCCAATTCGATGTGAGAAACATTTATTTAGACAGAAGGGAGATTAATTATTTACCAGGGCACTCTTGTGTATACCGGTTTACTTCGCAGCAGCTTGGATTTTCATGACGCCTCAGAATCTACCAATCACCAATCTCCTTACGTGGGACAGAGGAGAGCAAGTGGAAATACTCCCCACCTTCTGTGCATCGTCTTGCCAACTCCGGGCAAAAATATATGCGTAAGAACTCGAGGCTAGGCAACCGCTCAAGGAGTCCATGCGGGAATTCCTCTATAGCTGGACAACTCCAAATCTCCAATTCCCTGAGAGAAGTGAGGCCACACATCTCATCAGGCAACGCGTTTAGGCCACTGCAGTGATACACACTAAGACTCTTCAGCTTGGCCAGATTTCCAAGGTTCGAAGGCAGCATGGCCAGACTTCGGCAGTATGAAATCTTCAATACCTCCAGGGACTGCGGAAGTGTCTCCTCCTCAGATGATGAATTGCGACCCTCCAGGTTGTCACATTCTTCGATACGCAGAGAGCGGAGGCGATCCAAGCACTGGAGCTCCTCTGCTGGCCAGCGGACAACATTACTGCATCCATTAATCGTCAGCTCTTCCACGAACCGAAAGTATTTCCAAATCATAAGGTGTGAACTGGACAATCCGGAGCTTCTGACCAAGCTGTTCGGGCCTTCTAGATTCAAATACTTCAGTTTTTCAAGAGGCCTCTCACTTTGGCTTTGCTGGGGATCTAGAGGCAACATGGCTATGTCATCTGGACACCAAACGGTTAAGCTGACGAGAAATGGCCAAGAGCCCAAACGGATGCTCGTAAAAACTGAAGCGACTGCAGTCCTGTGAACCCCAACTATTCGCAACTCGGTAACAAAGGGGATCACTGGAATGCTTGCAAGGTTGGGGCAATATTTGATCTCTAGCTCGTCAAGCACCGGGAATGTTACCAGGTTATCACTACGCTCTCCCACACTATTTTCTCCCCATATCTCTAGGATTGGTAAGTCAATCAACTCCATCCTCTTCAACCCAGGGAAAATTTGCAGAGAGGAACTGCGTCCTCCACCTTCCACATCAAGGTTACTACATAATGTTGTCAGGTTATCCATCCTTTGTAAGGACAAAATCTCTAGAGATTCTGAGAGCCATACTACAGGTACACTCTTGCATCTTGGGCAGTCAGAAATTTTGAGTTTTTTCAACCATCTAAACATCTGAGGCTTTCTCATCCATTGTGATATTTCTAGGCCACCATATCCATGTATCTCCAACTTTTGGATATTACTATGAGGTTCTAAACCCTGAAGCACTTCTTCTGCATTATCTATTTCTTTGCCCCAAGAGAATAATAAATAACTCACTTAGATTTTGCTTCTGACTGAGATTGGCTTCTTTTGCATTCCCCCCACTCTTTATCTTGTTCAAATTCAATAGCTCCAATCTATTGCTAAGGTGTTGCAAGCCTTTGAGTTGCTCTATTCCAAGGCCATCCTTAGTATCCACAACAAATGTTGTTAATATGTGAAGGTTGTTCAGTAGACCAAAGTTCGGAGACATACTTTTGAGATGATAACAACCATAAAGATAAAGGTGGATGAGATTTCTCAGTCTTGCCATGTCTCTTGGTAACTGCTGCAGCTTTCGGCAACCTATGAGCCTCAATGTTTGCAAGTTATACAACACACATATTGAATCTGGCAACTTAGCAATGTCAGAGTAAGAGAGGTCAAGATATCGTAATCTTTTTGCATTTATGGCCTTGCAAATGGAAATTGGATAATGATAGCAATGCAGTGCTCTCAGTGATGTCGATACATGTACCAACTCTTTAAAATCCTTGTGTAATTTTGAAGGAGCTAACAAAGTGCGGAGGTATGTTCTGCCTTTGCATAATCCACTCATCTTTTCCAATTCAGCCTCTGGCATTTTCAGGTGACAAACATATTTTAACGATGCTTTCTGCGGAGTCAGTGCTTCTACACTTGCACATTCATCTGTGACATCTTTTGCTAGATCATGCATTAAATCATGCATTTTACATACTATCATCTCATACATTGGTTTATCAACCATGTAATCATATTTCACTACTACATTTTGATCCTGGAGGAAGGACCTCCAAACAAACTCATTGAAAATGAATTCTCCTGTTAGTGTCAAATCCATTGTTCCCTTCTCTTGAATAAAACCATTTGCTATCCATAGTTGGATCAAATTGTGCTTGTCCATCTGATAGTCCTTGGGAAAAACTGCTAAGAATGCAAAACATTGCTTCATTTCAGATGATAGGTGTGTGTAGCTCAACTTAAGGATGGACATGATCTCATCTTTCCCTCTAGCATTATCCCTAATATTACTTTCTTCGATGGCCTTCCATTCTTGTACTTGTTGATATGAACTTAGCAATCCACCCATTGTCTTGAGAGCAAGAGGCAGCCCCCAGCATTTGTTGACAATACGTCTGCCAATGCTGACCAACTCTGATTGGTCCTGCTCTACACTGTTTCTATATGCTTTTTGCGCAAATAATTCCCATGAATCTTGTTCACTCAGACATGCTAGCTTATGTGGTCCAAGGGTCTGCATTATAGAGGCTACTTTCTGGCTTCGAGTTGTCACGACTATTACACTTCCCGGTCCACCAACAGAACACAAAAGAGGCTTCAGGACATCCTCCCACTTCCTCTCATCTTCATTCCACACATCATCAAGCACGAGAATAAACCTTCTTTGGTCAATGACTTGCTCAAGTTTCTTTTGCAACAGCTCAATCGTGTTAGGCATGTCACATCTTCCACTTACGGCCAACTCAATGATGGATTTCAAAAGAGCCATGACATCAAAGTTGTCGGACACGCAGTGCCACATCTTCAACTGGAAATGTTGCTGGACCCCTTGGTCATTATAGACCATCTTAGCAAGAGTCGTCTTGCCAAGACCTCCCATCCCAATGATCGGCAGCACATGCACCCTCCGTTGATCCTGCTGGTCCAGCAGGAACTTCACCACCACCTCCTTATCATCATCTCTTCCAAAGATCTGGGTAGTCTCTTCTAGTTTTGAGTGCGTCTGCCGCCATGGATGTTGCCGCTCCTCCCTAGGGACAGAACTCTCCAAGCCAAATGTGTTCATCTCCTTAACCAACTTATTGATCTTCTTGAGGACGTTCTTGAGTTTCCTGCTCATTTCAAAACGGAAGAGCAGCGGGCTGCGGCGGGTGACGTAGCTGAGTACCTTTTGGGTAGTGGACTTGCCAATCTTTGACTGTCGGCGGAGCGCCTCATATTGGAAATCGTCGAGCACGTCGTCCGCCTCGTAGGCGACGGACTTGAGCTCCTTCATCCAGCTCTTCACATAGCCATTTGTCTCGCTCCTCTCCTCGGCATTGGCCAACTTGCACTCAACGGCTAGTAGAAGCCGCTCGAGAGTTTGGCGGTCGTCCTTGAGGCCACACATGCGGGTCATAGTCTCGACTAGTGTGTCTGTGGCCTTACCGGCCACACCACGTAACAGAGCGAGAAGCAGCGACTCTGCCATGATCTTGACGGTCGGAGGAATTATAAACTGCATCATATGAAAGAAGATGAAACGTTAAGCATTGACAAAACACGAACAGCCTTGCAATCCTCTTATGGAGTCAGGAATCATTATGCTCCTAGCTGCAAAGCATGCCTTACCTCCTCGCAGTCCTCCTTTTATTTTGCTTTGTTTCTTAGTTCCACAATAGCTTAGCTTGTACAGCTCTCAGAAGAAGAACAGCAAAACAAGTCCAGGGCATGCACCTCAACACCACCGGATTTGATCTTGACCAAATTGGTGAAAGAGCAATGGTACTGCTGGTCGTTCCACCGTTCCCCCCCTGCGCGCAGGTCCCACGCACGGCAAGGCTGGTAAAGGTAGAGAGGATGGAAGCAAATGGAGATAATATCAAGGAATCCAAGAGCTGAGCTGTATATTGACTAATAATATCAAGGAATCCAAGAGCTGAGCTGTATATTGACTGATAATATCAAGGAATCCAAGAGCTGAGCTGTATATTGACTGATAATATCAAGGAATGCAAGAGCTGAGCTTTATTTGCAACTATACATCACTATTTTCCTAATTAAGTTTGATTTATCCTGAACTTCCATATGCAAACAATTGCTTGTACCAACATCACAGATGACTCCAACCAAATGATGTTCAATCCTTGGGGCCTGCATCATTTTCTAACGTGCAGATAGGACAAGGAACAGCATCTGCTGTGAAGACTGGTTCAGCAAGAATAAGCAAGACATTGTTTTCTATCTGTCACTTCTATGACGTACTATATTGGAGGCCCGGCACACAGACCTGGTAATTGATCGGTTTCATATTTTTGTTTTTCTATATAACTTAGTTTTTCTGTGTGTGTTGGATACTGCTCGAGGACAAATAGAAAACCAAAGATCGCATAACCAGAAAGAATTATGCCAATAAAATTCCGAGGGCCAAACGAAAACGTGGGCACCTTTAAGCGTGGGTGGCCTGGGCATCAAGGATATCGATGCTTTTGGCCGGGCTCTTCGGCTTCGATGGCCTTGGTATGAATGGGATAGCTCGGACAGGCCATGAAAAGGGACCCCGGTGCCTTGCAATCAACCTGACCTTAATCTTTTTGCGGCATGCACTTCGATTTCTCTGGGAGATGGCCGTTTAGTGAAATTCTGGAGTCATAGATGGTTAGAGGGCCAAGCTCCAAAAGATTGGGCTCCTGACCTTTTTCGGATGGCAAGGTCCAAAGGGCTCACTGTCAGTCAGGCTCTTGATGGAGACGCATGGATGAGAGGACTACAGAATATCAACTCTGCTGGGCTGATGAACTCTTTTATTAGCCTCTGGAGGAAATTACAGGATGTGTCCTTGCTCTCTAGACCTGACACAATCTCTTGGAAGCTAACGGCTAGCGGACAATACACAGCTAAATCGGCTTACCAAGTTCAGTTCTTGACGCGTATCCCACAACCACACCTGCAGCAGGTCTGGAAGATTACAGCTGAAAAGAAAGTAAAGTTCTTCATCTGGACCCTCCTTCAGAATAGACTTTGGACCGGTGATCGACTACAAGCGAGAAACTAGGATCACAATGACTTGTGTGCTGGTTGCGATCAAGTGCTGGAATCCGCACATCACTTGATTCTTGACTGCCCTTTTGCCAAAGAAATTTGGTTCAAGACCAGCTCCTTCTTCCCGCTTGCATCCCAAGCTGCTCGGCACGCTTCATCTATCTCAGCTTGGTGGAACAGAGTGACAAAGTTAAAGAAAAAAGGACGCCAAGTGGACGAATGCACGGCGGCAGTTTACATCGCTTGGAATATTTGGCTCGAGAGAAACAGAAGGATCTTTAAGGATTCAGCGCAACCGTCAACGGATGTCCTTGTTAGAGCTAGAGATGACATTAGCCTCCTTTCGGAGGCATGGGAGGAGTAGGTCATTTTGAGTAGTGGGGCTGTTTAGCAGCCCACTCTAATGTTACTCTCTGCTTCCCCCCCTTCATCCTGTTTCTATTGCTTAGAAACTTTGTACAGTTTTCCCCCTCCTATCATGAAATAGGCAGAGCTCCTGCCAGTTCCGGTCAAAAAAAAAACGAAAACTCAATTCTCTACTTGAGATTTTTTTTCTTGGCACACTAACTTCTCCCTCTAGAGTTTAGAGCACCAAACAAATATCAGTTTTAACGATGGCTGCAGGAGCACATAAGTAAACTAAAAGTAATATTATTGCTAGAGCATGTCTGAGCTGACTTGAATTCTGCTTCGTGTGCAAACACCAGCAATTGTTTGCTGAACTCTGTAACTACTTCCCGGTTGCGTAGGCATTCTTTCTGCAACTGCACAATGAGGTATGGTGTAGATCAGATCTATGGTCATCGGGAAAAATAAATATAGTACTCCATCAGTAGCATATTCTTTTTATGGATGAAGTATGATATAATGGTGAAAAACGGCAGCAGCCAGTGCAAGATGATAAAGCTGGATGGTCTTAAAATGAACTTATTGTCATCACCATCAGTAGCATATTTCTTTTTATGGATGTTGTCTGATAAGCAGCTGTTCAAGCATTATTAGTTAGATGAGCAAGGAAGTTCAGAAACATATAGTATAAGATAACATGATAACGTCATAACTACTCCCTCCCTGTCACACAAAACCTCCAGGGCGGCTTCCTAGCATATGTCGTTAATCAAGGGTAGTTGCTCATATGCTTTAAGAATATACACTCTTGCTCATATATGTCTAGGGCTCTAGGCTTACGCCGGTTTATTTAGAGCATTTGTGTGTCACTGGTTAAATTAATATATGTAATTTTACGCACGGCAAAATTTTGTTTATGCATGCTAGTTTGGATGGGTGCACCTTTGGTTGGAAAGTACGCTGGCGTTGTCACCGATGTCTTCGTGACCATCAGAAACTAGCATGCATAAATAAATTTTTGCCATGCGAGGGCCAGTGCACCTTGTCTCGATGCGAGGCTATACTATTGAGAATTTAATCGCGGCTGCCACAAGAGAAACCATGTGAGACGGAGACAGAGATTAAGCAAAAGCCGGAATTCTTCTCCGGGTCTCTTTCAAAGCAGTATTTAACCAAAAACTACCACAATTCATGAATCCGTGCCCACAAACTACCACTTTACAAATTTGTGCCGAAAACTACCATTTTTTTGCTAATCTATGACTAAAAACTACCATGTCTGTAAATCGACCGATTCGTCCGTTTTAAACGCGCTTATGACAGACTGGGCCCATCCGCCAGGACTGAAAAGTCAGCACCGTTAACTTTGACTGTTAACATGTGGGGCCCACATGTCAGTTCTATCCCCTTCCTCTGGAATTCCCCATGGAGGATTTAGATAAGGGATTCCGTCGCCTGCGAGCTCCGGTGGCCATCCTCTGCACCCGAGGCCTCCCAGCATGCTCCGGCGAGGCCGAGCCCCCCACGCGAGCCCCTGCCCGCTCCGGCAAGGCCGATGCCCCTTGTGCCCGTGCTCCTACCCGCTCCGGCGAGGCCGAGCCCCGCGTGCCCGCATCCCCGCCCGCTCTTGCGAGGCCGAGGCCCGGCGCCACTGCCCGCTCCGGTGAGGCCGAGTCCCCCGTCTGCGCACGTCCCTGCCTGCTCTGGCAAGGCCGCGGCGTTAACCTGCTGCTAGCCAGGGCAGATGCGACGGGAGGCGTCGGTGCGATTCGACGAGAGACAAACTCGAGAGCGGCGGCGTTGACCTGCTGATGGCCGGGGCTGATCGATTCGTCGGCGTACGGCCGTGCTGCGGGCGGTGGGCTCCTGCCTCGCCCTCGACGTCCCCCGCCTCCCTGTGCTCTGGATCCGGTTGTCCCCCCGCCGCCGGAGTCGATGTCGCTGCCGCACACAGACTCCTTGAGCTGGCCATGGCCACTGCCGCGCGAGCTAGCCTACGCGCTGCCAGTCTGGCTGGCTGCCTCACTGCTTGCCAAGCTGCCCGCCATGCTGGCTAGCCATGGCCGCAGCCGTGCCCAGGCTTGGTGCTTGGTGGGGAATTTCAGACGTAGGAGTTGTAGGAGATGGAACTGACATGTGGGCCCCTTAGGTTGACGGTCAAAGTAACGGTGTTGACTATTTCAGCCCGGACGGGTGGGCCTAGCTTGTCATAATCAGGTTTAATCGACCATTTTTCATACTTGGTAGTTTTTAGCGAGGGATTAGGGAAAAAATGGTAGTTTTCCGCATAAATTCGTAATGTGGTAGTTTGTAGGCACGGATTCACGAATTGTGGTAGTTTTTGGTTAAATACTCGTTTCAAAGAGGAAAACCACCGCCAAACCTTGTCATGATCGCCACTATGTTGCTCTCGGATGAGACGACGGTAGAAATAATGCGCCGCTCCTTGACATGTCCAGTTGATAATTAATCTATCTTTCGCTGTCTGCAGATTATTTTAATAATCTATCTACCTGCACTTATATAGGTGTAGTTCCATCTACAGCTAGTGCATTATTTGCTGCATCCATGCAATACCATGGACTAGAAGCCCAATCTATTCATCAACTGTCAAGATGGTAAAAGAACACCAGAAGTAAAAAATACATCCAGGTATGTAGACGACCTAGCGACGATTACATGCACTAGAGCAAGCCGAAGGCGTGCCGCCATCATCAACGCTCCCTCACCGGAGCTGGGAAAATATTGTTGTAGTAGACAGTCGGAAAGTCATTATGCCAAAGGCCTATAGGACCAGCGCACCGGTAGCAATCGTCGTC